CAGTTTTGTCATTTTATGGCATTTTAAAAAAGTATGGTGGAGACTTCTGTTTTGGGCCAAAGTAGCATCAGATAATGAACTTGGTTTACTCTCCTGCCTGAAGCAGTTAAGGAGAGACAACAGCAAAAATGCATGAAATCATGTTGTCAAGAAACTAGACAACAAGGGGCAGGGATCCCTGAGAAAAGGCAAACAGAAGAGATGAGCTTGAAGTTTTAAGAGTTTCCTCTAGTGTCAGAAGCTTCTCTCTCCTCCTCCCCCCACCACCCCCGTCCCCCGGATTCCTGCCCTGCTCAGTCCAGGTCTTGTTTTCCTCAGGGAGGCAGGGCTCTTTCCTTTTGGGGGTTGTGGTGGGTGTTTCAGATCCTCAGGGCAGTGGGCCGCCCTGGATTATCTGATCTTCCCTCCCTCGTTATGTTTGGTTTGCTTATCTGTAGAGTGGAGCCGAGAAATGTCCCCAAGTCACTGGTTGTATCTGAGTCACCTGCCGAGGCTTCTGTTCAGTGAGCAGTCTCTCTCTCGGGGGTGTGGGGAGGTGTTTTATGGTGGTTTCTGGGTTCCCTGGCTCTTGGGACTGTCAGAACCCCTTTGCTCTTCCCTTTCCCGCCTCCGCACAGCTGCTGAGTCTATGTCCGTTTAGAGTAACGCTGCATTTGGTGGTCTGACCCCACCTCCTCGTTTTCTGGGGTTTGAGGGACACCCTTCCCACCTGCCTTCGTTCAAGTTGGTCTGGGCCTTTTCCTGAGGAAAGTCGGTAAGATTTAAAAATTACCCTGCTCCCACCGCCTTGTCCCAGTTAAAGGCCCCTCCACTCAGGTTTTTCTTCCTGTCTTTCCACTGAGCGACTCGGGTCAAGGCCGCCATGACCTGTGTTTGCCGTCTCCAGTAGCCGGGCCTCAGTGCTCGTAATGCTTGACCTCAGACATCATACATCCCAACCTGCACTCTTCCCGCCCTGCTCTCCTGCATCTTTCCCGCAGCGTGAAATGGTGATTTGACTCTCTGAGCTGCACAGCCAAAACAATCTTGAATAAGAAGAACTAAGTTGGAAGTCTCACGTTCCCTGATTTAGTAACTTAGTACAAAGCTGCAGTAATCTAAACTGTGTGCTGTGGGCATAAAGACGACAGACCAGTGGAATAGAGTAGAGAACCCAGAAGTAAAGTATGGTCAAATGATTTTTGACAAGGGTGCCAAGACCATGCAGTGGGGCAAGGACCTTTTTTTCCACAAATGGTTCTGGGAAAACTGGATATCCACATGACGGAAAATGAACTTGGGCCCTTACACAAAAATTAACTCAAAATGGACCAGAGACATCAACTCAAGAGCTAAAACTGTGACTCTTAGAACAAAAAACATAAGGAGAAAGCTTCATAACCCTTGATTTGGCAGTGATTTCTTTCTTTTAAGGCTAATGTGTATGCACATGCCACATTCTGCTTATCCATTCGTCTGTCGGTGGACACCTGGGTTGCTTCCACGTATCAGCTACTGTGAATAAAACTGCTATCAAATCTTGGGAAAACTCTCAAATGTTTAGAAACTATTAAATAAGCCATGGGATAAAGATAAAAGGGAAATGAATCTTTGGAACCAAATGAAGATGAAAACACAAAATATCAAAATTTTCAGGATTCCACTAAAGCAGTGCCTATAAGTTCTGAAATTAATACTGTCACCTTAAGAAACTGGGGAAGAAGAGCAAATAAAATCCAAAGTAAACAGAAGAAAGGAAATAACATCATAGCAGCAGTCAGTGAACTAGAAAACAGAAAAACAGGGACTCTAAGAAGAAATCAGTAGAATTGATAAGCCTCTGGCCAAACTGATGAGGAAAAGAGAAGGCACAAATTAGCAATATCAAAAATGAGAGCAATGACATCACTACAGATTATAAGGATAATAAGTGAATATTTTGAACAATTCTATGGCAACTAATATGAAATGGACAACTCCATGAAAGACCCTAATGACCAAAGTGCATTCAAGAAGAAAAGATAAACAGCCCTGTATCTATCAGGAAAACTGCATTTGTAGTGTAAAACCTTTCAAAAAGAAACCTCAAGCCAGATGGTTTCTGTTGAGTTCTGTCAAACATTTAAGGAAGAAATATACAAACGCCAGAAAATTGAAAAGGCAGGAATACTTCCCATTTCATCCTGTAAAGCCAGCAACATCCTGATACCAAAACTAGACAAAAACATTAGAAAACAGAAAACTATAGACCAGAATCCCTCTTGAACAAAAATGTAAAAATTCTAAAGAAAATTTTAGCAAATCATACCCAACAATATGTAAGAAGGATAATTCATCATGACCAGGTGGTGTTGATCCCAGGAATGCAAGGCTGTTTTAACACTAAGAAATTAATCGATGTAATTTACCATATTAACAAACCAAAAGAAAAGGAAAACAATACATCTCAGTAGATGGAGGAAAAAACAGTTGCCAAAATTCAACATCTCCTCCTGATTTTAAAACTTTTTGCAAACTAGGCATAAAAGGTAATTTCCTTAAACTGACAAGGGGCATCAATGGAAACTAGCAGCTGTACCGTCATACTAAGTGGTGAAAGTTAGAGGCTTTTTAAGATTAGGAACAATACAAGGATTTGTGCTCTGATGACTTTTATTTCCACTTTGTATTACAAGTTCTAACCAGCACAACAAGGAATAAAGAAAATAAACAGGGGCGCCTGGGTGGCTCAATCAGTTAAGCGTCTGTCTGCCTTTGGTTCAGGTCATGATCCCAGGGTCCTGCGTTTGAGCCCTGCATCGGGCTCCCTGCTCAGCTGGGAGTCTGCTTCTCCCTCTGCCTCTGCCGCTCCCCCTGCTTGTGCTCTCGCTCTCTTTCTCTCTCTGTCAAATAAATAAATAAAATCTTAAAAATACATATATCAAATTGTACACTTTAAATATACGCAGTTTAAGTCAATTCTATTTCCACAGGCTAAAGATACATATATGATAGAGGGGACTCTCACAGGTTGAGAAAAACTTGATGGGAACAGCAACCAAATGCAATGTTTGGACTTTGTATCCTGAGTCAAACAAGCCAACTGTATAAAAAGACATTGTGGGGGCCCCTGGGTGGCTCAATTGGTTAAGCAACCAACTCTCGATTTCGGCTCAGGTCATGATCTCAGGGTCATGCGATCAAGTCGGGCTCCACACTCAGCAGGGGTGTGGGGGTCTCTCTCTCTCTCCCTCTGCCCCTCCCCCACTCGTACATGTGCAAGCTTGCACACTCTCAAATAAATCTTTTTTAAATAATAGACATTTTCAAGAGAAATGGGGAAATTATAGTATAGTCTGAGTATTTGATAGTGTTGATTATTGTTAATTTTGTTAGATGAGAGAGTGACAGCAAACGAAAGCCCCTCTCTGTAAGACATAGTGACAGTTTTATGGGTGAAATGCTTTGTCATATGCTTTGAAATCCTCTAGCACAGTAAAGAGGCAGGGACAGATGGAAAATATTAGTAAACTATTGACCATCAAAGGTAGATGATGGATACGTGGAGGTTCATGAACTTATTTTCTTTTGTGTATTTTTAAATTCCCCCTAGAATTTTTATGTTTCTATGATTTTTTTTAATCCTCAGGATATAAAATCCAAGGTCTCCCCTTCTCTTTGCCCCCACTGCCCCCCCTCTGGCTCACCATCTGCCTCTTCCCACGGTTCAAGATTCGCTGTGTGTAGAGTGACCACCTATCCCAGTGTGCCTGTTTGCACCCACTGTCCCGTGTAATTACTGATAGGGCCCTCTGACTCTCAGAACGTTCTGTTTTGCACGATCTAATGTATGCTCGTCCTAGCAGTATCGAATCATTTCCTTCATACTTCTGTGCTTCACACGTATTTATCTTTAATGGATTTCCTTTGTCCAGAAGTCCCCCCTCCTGCCCCCTGTGCTTTTCCTGATCGGATTCCTTCCCACTGGTGTTCCACATCTCAGCTCAGACATCCTCTCCCCAAGCCTTCCTGATGTTCCTCCTCTGCCCCGCCCCCCCATCCCCCGCCCGAGTTGGGTTGCCCCCTCTGTGCCGCCACACCACCCAGGCATGCTCTGCTGTACAACACTCAGTCACAGTGTGTTTTTTACTGGGGGCTTGGGTGGGTCAGTGGGTTAAGCATCTGCCTTTGGCTCAGGTCCTGATCTCAGGGTACTGGGATCGAGCCCTGTGTCGGGCTCCGTGCTCAGCAGGAGTCAGCTTTCCCCCCTCACTCTCCCTCTGTGTGCACGCTCTCTCTCCCTCTCTCTCTCTCTCAAATAAATAAAATCTTTTTAAAAAATAAAATGTGTCTACTGGTCTGTTCCCCAATTCAGTTGGCTTTTCAAGATTTGGGAGCACTTTTTCACCTGTGAGTCTTTGGTGTCTAGCAGTGTCTGCCAAAACGTGGGATCAAGTCTTTGAGATTCTGTGACTTAACCCCTTCACACAGCTCACCCCTGGAAAGATAAATGCACCTCCCTAAGCTCACGGAGCATTGTAGCGGCAGAGACGGAAGGACAGCTGTGACCGCCTCTCTCCTGCCACACTTGGCACCGTGATGAGCGATCTTGGGGGTGCTGGAGGTTCCTTTTCCTAAGACAGAGCTTATCCTTCTGATTGTCCCCAGAGCTATTAGTGCAGTGGTTGTGGCTCTGACAGGTACAAGAAGTAGATTTCAATAATGCTGTGGTATTTCAAAGGTTTATTAAATACAGGAACGCAGCAGTGGTTATGACACCTGGCGGGGTTTTTTTTTCCCACTATATATACTTTTTAATTATTCAACCAGAATAATTCAGTAATTCAATTCAGAAGGGTGAATCTATGGAAAAACTGCCAGTTTTTCTCATTTTTTAATCGCTTTGTTAGAATCCTTTCCTATGGTACAACGTGGAGAATGTTGTGGGATAACAGGGGCTCTATACATTTAATGATTTTAAAATAGAGGACGTCATCCAGAGATCTTGCATTAATGTCTGTTTTTCTTTGTAATTGTCATAGCGTCGTCTTGGAGATGCTGCCAAGAAAGCCATCAGCAAACTGACCACCAGAACAGTAAAAAAGGGTGATAAGGTATAGTAGTGAAATAACTTTAACACTATAAAAATGATGAAGTAGTTTTGCTTTTGATTTGGTGGGAGAGAACACACCCTAATCGTTTGTGTCTCATGTGAGGTGATTCTTTTTCTCCAGGTATATGATCTAACGCTTCATTTTAAACTAGCCTCCCTTTCAGCTCTTACCCTTAGCATGCCTCATTTGGAGGCCTTCCATAGAGTTTCTGACTTTCCTGGACTTCCAGGCCTCCTGCCATTATTAGCTATACTGGTCTACTTACAGTTCCCCTAGCTGTGATGTCCCACTCCAGAGCTTTCTCCCCTTGCAGCCAAAGTTGCCTTTGGGCAGAACCCTAATGGGTCAGTTGGTGCACTCGGTGGCCAGGAATATGTGTTCTCTTCCCTGTGCTTCCTTTGTGTTTTAGTCCCTTGCCAGTTCGCCAGAGAGCAGGAGACGCACATCTCGAGAGAGTGTCATTCACAAGGTGCTTTCTGTCCAGTGGGCCAGACAGTTGGAAGGAAGCTCCCAGTGTGTCAGGGTTGGGCCCTTGGCTTGCGGGGACCAAGTGAGAAAGCCAGTGACTGAGGCTGTGGCTGAGATGGCTCATCAGAGCTCCCCGGCTGGGCCTCACGTTACGTGGAACCCGCTTCTGCTCCATAAGAACAAAACAGCAGCTTAATGTTCGACCCTACATTCCATATATTCAGTTATCTAGAGGGGGAAAGTTGCACCTCTAAAGGCATAAACCCAAAGCTGTTTTCTACCCCACATCCAGCTCTCACATTTTGACAAGCGGCTCTGGGAGGGTAATTTCAGACAATTCTCCAGCCTCTGTAGTTTCACCACTTCCTTGACTTCACCCATTTTTATTCCCACTGCCTTGACACAGCTCTGGAAGGTGGAGACATTTTCAGCGAACTTCAGTGAACACTAAGCAAAGAAACAAGTAAAAACATTTGGAGAAAATAAAAGCAGCATCAGGAAAGCTGCCCCATAGCCCCAGAGAAGTGGTCACCCTCTTGGCCTGGTGGCCTTTAGCTGCCACATTAATTGGAAATACCCCAGAATTTTTACCTATTCTACATTGTCCTTCAGGCTAACACCGAACAATCTTTCCTTATTCAAACCAACACCTCTTCCAAGTTCGTGCCTCCTGGACCTACCCAGCGTTGTCCCACTGAGTTTCAGTCCACGTGGCCATGACACAGCAGATAGTCTCCCCTTTCCTGGCTTAGGTTCCTCGTAATGCTCTATTTTATGACAACTCAGGGGAGTCCCTTCCCGGCACAGACGAGGAAGGAAGCCAGTTAACCTGGATGACCGAACACCTGACTTACTCTTCCTGGCTCTTCATAAAGACCCAGTATTGAGTTGGGCCATGACTGTTCTCTACCCCAAACCTGTGACCAGCGCCCGTCACTGGGGCTTGGTCTTTTGGGGGCTCACCATCTTTTCTACCTGTACTTAGATGAGTGATCAGAGAACGACCCACACTGTGGAGGGTGTGATGTGAAGCCCGCTGAACCAGAATAGTGATGCCGCAGTGGTGGGAGGGGGAGGAGGGTGTCCACGGTGACCGTGGATTTGAATCTTGAAAAACAAGAATTCTGACTTCTAAGACATTTCACAAATAGAATTAGTACTAACTGTTACAGCATAGTTTAAAAACGAGATAGAGTGGTTTCGATACCACTTGGGTCAGTGCAGGTAAGCAAATGAAAACATATCACAACTCTGCGTAACTGTTCACTTCATAGCCGCTTGCTTACCATCCTTGCCACAGGAAGATGCCTAGCTGGATTGCCTCCTCCATTTATGTGTAGCTTCGGTTTGAGCATGTGACTCTCATGCCTGTGCTTTCCTTGCAGGAAACAGACCCCGACTTCGATCACTGCGCAGTCTGCATCGAGAGCTACAAGCAGAACGATGTGGTGCGGATTCTCCCCTGCAAGTATGTCAGGCTCCTTTGTCTAAAACAGAATGATGCTCCTCTGGTGTGTGTGTCTCCCCTTCAGAGGGGGGATCCCACTTGCCTTCGGGAGCCGCCTCACCCACGGCTCTGGCGGCAGGCGGAGGCGCGGCGGCCCGTTACCCGTGGTGGGAGTGGCAGCTGGCACGAGCCCGCCTCGGCACAAACTGACTGCAGAGCCTCCTCTGCTTGTGAGAAACATGGGGAAAAACCCTGGGGTACATCGTAGCCTAAGACCATTACAGGCAGGAATGTTCAATTCTGTGAGAGGGCGAGTAAAGGACGCTGGGGTTGCTCAGTCCAGAAGTGGCAGAGTCGAAGTAAAGGTCCACCTCTACTCCTCCTTGTATCGGGCCCCGCTCACCTGCATGTGGTGCTCTAGAAAGAGCAAATGTTCTTTAGAAACATGCTGATTGGAAAAATACGAAATCACGTGCTGAGAAGCCTAAAAATCAAAGACTTTTCTTCTTCTTTCTCCCCTCTCTTAAAACACATGCACAGCACTCTCACCACCTAGTAACACAGAACATGTGAACAAATAAAATAATTGTCAGTGGTTGTCTCCCTGTGGAGACAGGGAATAAAATGGCTACCAGTACCATTTTATTCTCAAAGTCATCTGTTTTGAACCTAGAAAGACCTGTGAGTGGTTTTCTTTTTCTTTAATCATAGAACCTAAGAATAATTCCATATGCTGAAACAGAAAACCAGATTCTGGAAGTCAAGTCAATCTAGTTTACACATAAAGGAAAATCTACAAAACTAATGGGAAGCTGTCCTGTAGAAAATTGTGTAATTACCAGATTTCCTTCAGCTGCTGTCATGTGTGGTTTAAAACATGAGGCTGAAGGAGATACACATCCAAACACAAACCAGGAAGATCAGTAGGTACATTATAAAGCATTATCCACCCTTAGCTGCTTTTTAAACATGTTTTCACCTGCACAGATCTCCTCGGACACCGGAATCACCAGGAAGAAGCCAAGTCTTTCCAAATTCTGTCTTCTATTTCAGGCCAGGGGCCCCCTCCAGAGGAACCATCTGGACCCAAGAACAAAGGCCTCTGAAACCATTCGTGGTTGTTGGTAATGAGAGAGTGTCTTCCTCAGGGGAGCCTCGGCCAAAAATAGACTACTCTGGAAGCTTGCTCCCTGTCCTCCCTGCCCCCTGAGCATTGGCTATTCCAAAGTTTCATTCTTAGTTCTCTTTTTTTCTTAACTTAGTCCAGTGTTTTCCAAACTGGATGGTGTGTCGGAATCAGTGGGGGGTGTTCAGAAACACATCCCAGAGCCCGGGCATGTGGCTTTTAGTAGTCACCTGAGCAGCGCTGCAACGACATGCCCCTCCATCAGAGTCCTTGCCTTCCTGGGGCTGCACCTGTGTCCGCGGTCTGCTTTTGGATATTAGAATTTTGGCAAACTTAACGACATTTCTCTGTGCCCGCAGTTAGGGCACTGCGCCCTCGGTTGGTTGTGTTCCGTTGCTGGGCCCCTGTCTGCTCTATGTTAGAGTCCCCCTTCTGCTCTGGAGCAGGGTGCTGTCTGGTACACGTACGCCTTAAGCCTCAGCAAGTTGTAGCTTCCGCTGAGGTGTCTCACACACCCTGCTCAGCAAAACCATTCATCTCACTGAAATGGTACCAACCGCGCAATTCTCAGGTATAGTAAAAATTAATTTTGCCCATTGAGCAGCGTTCTGTGGGACTGGAAGCAACAACTTTTCACCTAGAACAAGGTTTCTGAGCCTTGGTACTGTTGACGTTTGGGACCAGATAATCCTTTGTGGGGGCTGGGGGCGGGGCGGCTGTCCTGGGCATCACGGGATCTTTAGCAGTGTCCCTGGCCGCATCCACGAGATGCCCGTAGCACCCCAGCCCCACACACAGTTGTGACGACCACTGACCTAGAGGATGGCCTCGCCCAGATCTGCATCTTCACTTTAGATCTTCCGCACACCTCTGGTTTCCGCGGGACCCCCTCTAGGATACTTCCAAATGAATTCTGGCCTTGGGCTGCTACCTTCTTTCTTCCCTGGGACACCCTGCCCTTCCTCTTTTGTCTGTAGGGCTTTGAAACCGAGCAGAGGGGTGACTCCGCTACCTCTCCCTTGAGCTCTCGTGCCCAACAGTGCCAGAGCCTCCCTGCCTCCCGTGGGACTCCCGGTGGCCCCTCAGCTGCGCCTGGAGTGCTGCCCAGAGCCCGTCTCTTTCCCTGGTTGGCTCTCTTTGTTCGTTCTCTTTTAAACACCTTAGCTCATCTCTTTGTTCCTCACTCTGGCTGGGTAGCTTCCCCAGCTGCTTCACGGAGAAAGTCATGGTTGTTTGACCCTGAAATTCCCTCCGCTTCCTGGCCCTGAGCCTTCGGGTGCACCTGCCTCCCCACCCCCAGCCTTGCAGCATCCCCCACCCTTCATTGGGAGGGCAGAGGGCTCCCTTTGTTCTGATGTGTTCTTTCCACCTCGGCCTCCACATGCCAGTCCCGTCCTCTCCTCGGGGACCTTGCTCTGTTGACTCTCTGCTCCTGCCAGTTCTTGTTCCTTCTGTGTCTGACATTTTGTCATACTCAAGCCCGTCCTATGCCAGTTTCATAAGCCATCGCCAAACACCGCCCTGTGGCTCCTCCCTTCACAGCCAGACTTGGGGAAGGAGCTGTGTTCGCTGTCCCTTCTTCACCTGAGTGAGGGACCAAGGAAAGCCCAGGTGCCTTTGTTTCTGTCCGTCCTTAACTTTGAACAAGCCTATCTAGAGACTGAACTGAGACTTTCTATCTATAGAGAGCAGAGTTCATAGATTGCTGCCTTTTTGCTGCATGACCTTTCCTTTTCCTCTTAATTTACTGTGGACACATGGCACTTGGCATCGCTTGGGGCCTCCTCCTTGTGCCTTTGATGACAGCTGATCATCCCTGGACGTTAGCCAGCACGTCCTAGAAACTATCGCCTTATTTAGACAAAGGTCAGCCACAGCATTTTTTTTTTTTTTAGTAGTTAAAAATACTTTTCAGGGGGCGCCTGGGTGGCTCAGTTGGTTAAGCATCTGCCTTCGGCTCAGGTCATGATCTCCGGGTCCTGGGATCGAGCCCCACGTCAGGCTCCCTGCTCAGCGGGGAGCCTGCTTCTCCCTCTCCCTCTGCTGCTCCCCCTGCTTGTGCTTTCTCTCTGTGTCAAATAAGTAAATAAAATCTTTAAAAAAACAAAGTACTTTTCAGAAGTAGAGTGCCACCATTCAAATCAACGTGTGTCCAGGATGCCACTTTGGGAGCCTAAAAGGGGTCCATCCTGTGGCCGCTGCTGGAGGCGTCGCTGGGGTGCCCCCGCCTCGAGGGAGGGCCTGTTCACACAGCGTCTGCTGCCGGCGCAGTGACGGGGAAGAGTTCTCGTCTCTGACCTTTCGTAATCCTGGGTCCTTTTATATTTGCCAGGTCTTTGCACGGCACCAAGAGGCTTCGGAGCTGTGAGAACAACTCCGCTTCAGTGTACCCTCCTGTCCCCACCCCCAGCCACCGCTCTGCTCTCTCTAGTTCGTGACGTGTGCGGGAAGGAGGAAAGGGGAGGGCGCCCTACTACCGGTTTCGTTCCACATTCTGTACCCCAGAGTATTTCTTCCAGGAATAAAGAACTTTTGTGTCGAAGTTCCAATCTGCTTGTCTTTTCCACGTTTCACTGGTCCTCAGCACATCATCTGCTTTCCATCCCAGTACACCACTCGGCCCTAAATTCGTCGGGCTCTTTTCTGCTTTCATGTGTGCTTTGATGTCTCAAGCCTTTTGTAACTGTGGGAAGGGCTTCTCTTCAAGATCTGGCTGGCCGCAGGTGCCGCCCACTGAGGTGTCCGTGGGGGCCCAGGGTACACCTGTGAGCTAGTCAGAGGTCACTGGTGCTGGGACTGCCGGCGCTGGAGGCCTGCACGCACGTTCTGACCGTTTATTGGGATAGCGTGGGAAATGTTAACGTTACTTGGCCTGAGTGTGTGTTTAATAGTACCTTGCATTTGTGTGCTGTCGAGGGCTGCAGGAACCGGGCTGTCGGGGAATCTGTCAGAGGAGGGAGGGGGGCAGGTGGCTGAATGGGGTGGGGGTCAGTAGGAGAGCCATGGCGTGGACACAGTCAAAAGGAAAAGATTTTTTGTTTTAAGAAAAAAAACTTATTCAGATTTTGAGCTAGCTAGGGAAGGGAGACATTCTTGGTTTGACCCTGAAGACCCGGTTAGTCTGTTGTCCATTACAGTACCGCAAGGGGTGGGTGTGGAGGGACACTGTCTTTCACATCGACATACCTCTAAGGGAGCAGTTTGGAAGCCCAACATAGGAAAAATCCACCCTATGCTAACCAGACCCTCAGAGCTCTACGGGCCAGAGGTTAGGCAGATGCACCCTTGTAAAGGGGGGTGGGGATCCTGTCACTTAGTCAACCTAAAGGGGTCCGCCTCCCCAGAAAGATTAGAAGCCTTGTGCTAGCCTTGGCCAGACTACAGTGAGCACTGGCACAGTTGACAGCTGCTGCGGTGTAGACCCTGGCTCTGAAGGCGCCCGCCCAGTGGGCCCTGTAGGCAGGAGCCCTTCCCCCGCCCCTCTTGGATCACTCTCCTACGAGGATACAGGAACAAGAAGTGGACATGCCTTGTGTGTACTAAATGAATTTCGGGCTCACCTATGGTTTGGTGACTTTTGCCCCTTAAGTAAAAACCTGCAGGTTTAAATACAAGCCTTCCGGGATGAAGAGGTTCTAGTTCACTGCACTGATAAATTCAGTCTTCGAGATTTTTATTCTTACCCAAAGAGATGAGCGCAGGGTCACCAAGTAGCAGTAGGTAGGCGCATATGCATTGTTGAGGTTGAAGCCGTAAGCCTGCATGCTTCTTCCGAACCCCAGTTAAAGCAGCGAGATGTTTAGACCTCCTACTTTTTTGGATCAAAACTGCACTTTTTTTATTTAAAGATTTTTATTTATTTATTTGAAAGAGAATGAGAGACAGCACGAGAGGGAAAAGGGGCAGAGGGAGAAGCAGGCTCCCCGCTCAGCAGGGAGCCTGATGTGGGACTCGATCCCGGGACTCCAGGATCATGACCCGAGCCGAAGGTAGTTGCTTAACCAACTGAGCCACCCAGGTGCCCTCAAAACTGCATTTTTAAACAGCTGTATATAACTATAAGCCACATGTAAATTATAAATTCATAAAGTTGCAAAGGCATACCGTGTTTCAATTTGATACCTTTCTTAAAATTTCTTTTATCGATAACCGAGACTCCAAGCATGGTTCCTTTCAGGTGCCCAGATTGTGTGTCCTGGCACCCGCTTCTCTCCCTCTCTGGCCAGGACTCTGGGGCTTCATTTTTAGCCTCCACCACAGCCCCCTCAAAGTCTCTCCCTTCCGCAAGGCACAGGTCCCTTTTCTAAGAATGCAAGACTCTCCATGACTGACTTCTTTTCTGTCGCAAGGATGTGACTCTCCACTCTCCTGAATAAAAAAAAAATCACCCATCCTCTCTCTCTCCCCTTCACATTTCCACTCAAAACTGTTGGCTCAGTGTCACCTGACTCTTTAGTTACCTTTCATCTCCAAAATACTCTGAACCACCCTGTAACTTCCACAGACATTTAACATAGATTACTTAGAAGTCTTTTTAAATGATGTTCTAGGGGCACCTGGGTGGCTGTCTGTTAAGCGTCTGCCTTCAGCTCGGGTCATGATCCCAGGGTCCTGGGATTGAGCTCCGCATCAGGCTCCCTGCTCAGCGGAGAACCTGCTTCTCCTTTCTGTGAAACCAATTCATGGTTGTGCAGAAAACTCTTTTCATTCAACCCTTGCTTTGTATCTTCTTGAATTTCCCTTCTTCCTACTCAAGCTGTGGTAGAAAGCATAACTGATTGATAAGGTGTAGTTTGTTTCCTGGGCATTCAGGTCATGGTCCCAGAGTCTGAGTCCCGCATCGGGCTCTCTGCTCAGCAGGGAGCCTGCTTCTCCCTCTCCCTCTGCCTGCCGCTCTGCCTACTTGTGTGTGCTCTCTCTTTGTCAAATAAATAAAATGTTTAATAAAAAAAAGGTATAGTTTGTTTCATTCTTAATAAATATCCTAAGTTTCTTCAAGTGCTGAAATAAAAAGACCGAACTGCCAAATACCACTTATCAGTTCTCATCATACAGATTGGGGTCAGGAGCTTTTCTGCCAGCTATATTTTAATACATCCCCAATATTTGTCTCTTGGAACTTGCCAGAATGTCCAAAAAGGGGGAGAAACAGACTAACTAAAAATTCCATTTCTTTGGATCTAATAGTTGTTCAGTATCTGATCTGTGATACAATGCTCTGTGTGTTTTGTTTTTTTATAGGCATGTTTTCCACAAGTCCTGCGTGGATCCCTGGCTTAGTGAACATTGTACCTGTCCAATGTGCAAGCTTAATATTTTGAAGGCCCTGGGAATTGTGGTATGTTTCCTATATGGTCACTACTTTTTGCATGTGAGCTAGCATCGCACAGGTGGGTGGTTAAGTCTCCCGAGAGAGCGCAGGCTTTCTCTGCCACACGGCCTTTCTTCCACATTCCTTAGACTCCAGCCCGTCTCAGGGAACTCCCAGAAGAGAAGATAAAGAACTGAACTAGTCCACTCAAAAGTGTGCTTCCATTTGGTGGTGGAAATATGAAGAATGGCAGTGGAGAGAGGGACGGGCTTTGCTTTCATTCCGGTATTATCTTTTTTTTTTTTTTAAGGACTAGAAATACAGATTTTTTTTTTAAGATTTTATTTATTTATTTGACAGAGAGAGACACAGCGAGAGAGGGAACACAAGCAGGGGGCGTGGGAGAGGGAGAAGCAGGCTTCCCGCCGAGCAGGGAGCCCGATGTGGGGCTCCATCCCAGGACCCTGGGATCATGACCCGAGCCGAAGGCAGACGCTTAACGACTGAGCCACCCAGGCGCCCCTAGAAATACAGATTTTTTTACTTTGGTCCAGTAGTAAGTTTTTTCTGCATTCAGCATGCTATAAAACTATGTCATCACTGTGTTCCTTTCTCTTGAACCTGGCTTAGCTCCCCAGGGCGTTGGTCAGCTGCAGGCAGCGAAGGTGGGCAATACCAGCCTGCTGGGGCTTTGGTCCGAGGCCACACCGAGGACACAGTGCTTCATTCAGCTCTGGCCAGGCCGGTCAGCACTGACTGACCGAGGGCCTTGGAGACTTTCTCCAGGTCTCCCTTAAGAGACCTACCTGTCCAAAACTAACACCTCTTAGAGAAAAATAAAATACTTTCTGATCTCAAGAAAGGGTGGATGAATGATTTCCTTGTGGAACCAGAAGTTTAGTGTGTCCAGCAGATGAACTGCTCCTTTTAGCTTTGCAACCCAAAGCACGTCTAAGATGTCCTGTTTGAAGTGTGCTGCTGTCAGCTGACAAATGAGCGGTCCCAGGTGGCTCCTCCCAGCTCCAGAGATCACGTCAGTGACACAGTTGAACATAGGGTCACTCCACCTCAGCCCCACTGACACTGTGGACCAGATCATTCCATTGGAGGTGGGGGTGGGGGGCCGTCTTCTGCCCTGCAGAGTGTCCCCCGCATCCCTGGCTGCTCCTAAAGGCTAGTAGCATGACTCACCAGGTGCAAGGTCAGAATGTCTCCAGACATTGCCAAATGTCCCTTGGGGAACAGTCACCCCCGTGGGAAGGGTTTACCATAGAGTGTCTGCCACGATGTCAGGCGTGTGGCAGACGCTTCCGGAAGTATTACCTTGGCCTCTTTTGTTGCCTCCAGCCTTGGTGGTAGTTTGGTTTGTTTGTCTTCAGTCCAATCTTGGAAGTGCAGACACTTCTCCCTTTTATTTCTAAAGAACATCCTTCTAGAGTCTATTACAAGCTACCATGGTTTTAAATATAAAAACCATAGTAAAGCTCTTCTACCAGGGTACCGTTCTAAGCATTTTACTTTGGCTGTGGGGTGATCTAGAACAGTTCTTCCCCCCAGGAGGCTGTCATTGTGGGTCGGGTTGGCTGTCACTCCTCCATACTTGTGCCTCTGCCCATCCTCCTTCCCAGCTCTGCTTCCAGCACTCCGTCTGCCAGACCTGAAGGTTCTAGGGAAACCAGATAACTGTCTTGTTACCCCAGGAGACTTTTCCACCCATTTTTTAGTTGGTAGGCTTTGGCCTCAGAGCAGCTCTGTACCTCCTTCAGGGCTAGATGCTTAGATTTTGAAACCGATGGTTTACTCAAAGCTCAAAGGTCTTTTCAACGTCAATCTGCTCTTGGTCATGTGTCTAAAGGTAGAAGACATTTAAAAACTGACTGCCAGCTAAATGGGGCATTACAGAGAAGTTAATAGGAGGAACGCAGTATTTTATGTTCTCTGCTCTCCCTCAACATTAATGGAAGAGCCGGAGTGATGCATTTTCCTGTTTGTCAGCTGTAGAATAATGATAATGACTCCCTCTGCCCGTGAGTTACATCCGCCAGAGGTGGTCGTTTCTTAGTGAAGATGAAATATCCAGTTTTCTCAGCTGTACGATGGATTTTGGTTTTCTTTTGTATCATATTTGGTAGGAAATCATCTGTTTCTTTTAAAGGAAAACTCTTGGGTGAGAAACGGTAAATGGGGAAAGAAATGAGAGGAAATCACATGGAAAAAAAACTTGGAAGGCTTTTCAACAGGGTGTCAGACATTTAGCATTTTATCAGAGATTTCTTATTCTTCTAAGTACTCTTAATCTGGAAATGTTTTGCAGCCAAATTTGCCATGTACTGATAACGTAGCATTTGACATGGAAAGGCTCACCAGAACCCAGGCCGTTAACCGAAGATCAGCCCTAGGTGACCTCGCCAGCGACAACTCCCTTGGCCTTGAGCCACTTCGAACTTCGGGGATCTCGCCTCTTCCTCAGGACGGAGAGCTCACTCCCAGAACGGGAGAGATCAACATTGCAGTAACAAGTAAGTGGGGCCCCGTACCCAGGCCCAGGGCAGGTTTGCCGCTGTGCTTGGTGCATGTTGACTGCTCCAGAGGGCAGTGGAGGCAGTCACCTGGGCCAGGGAGTTAGTCTGTCATGGAGGAAGTGACAGGTACCTCTGTGAAAACAGGAATTTGGGGAGACAAAACTTTCCTGATAGTAAGGAGCTTATTTGTGTATAATACGTAGGCCGTCTGATAAGTTGTCTCAGTAGCCGTGTAGACACCTGCTTTGATGGCCACCTTGCAGACGGGTGTTTTAAAGGGTCCCACTGGGATGTGACGCGGGACATCGTGTTGTGTGACCAGCCGCGAGCACCAGGCTACAGGCAGCTTAGCGGAAACCCAGGGCAGAATCTGAACACACTCCCTAGAGTTGCTTCCTCAGGGGAGACTCGAGACGCCCTATTACTGCTCACTTCACTTTACGGAGTCTGGGGTCTTGGCACTTCCATCTTTGGGGTCACTGGACGTGGGGCGGGAGAAAAGCCAAAGCATGATGTGCCTTTAACAAACGCTCTCGCTAGTCCGGGGCATCTGGATGGGTGAAGTGTTGCCGAGGAGAGCCGCGGTGCTCGGAAGTGCTCAGAGTGTGTCGATGGCCGCCCGGGAACGGTGTGCGTGGGCCGGTGGGCGTGTGTGTGGGCGGTCACCCTGTCACAAGCCAGCTGTCCCCCTCAGCTCCATCCTCCACGTGGTCTCTCCATCTAACCGCCTCTCTCCAGCCTCCCTGTCACCACTGTGGTGCTGCCTTGCCCAGTGCGTGCTGTCGCTTGCTGTAGCTTCCAGCCCTCAGCCCCTGCGAAGCCGCGGCGTGGAGAAAGCTGTCATGAAAGATTTTTCCTCCACGTAGTAAGGCTTGAGTGGGGTGTTCAATTGAAGTACACACGTTTTCCACCGACCAGAGATTAGTAGTCGTCAGCACTTTCCCAGGTTTTGTTCTATCATTTGTCTGAACTCGAGGAGACTTCATTCAGTTATAAAACAAGGAAAAGTATTCTTCGATGCAGTTTGACTCATTTCCTGCCACATCCCGGCGAGTTGTTTTAATTAAAGATTTTCATGTTTTCAGGTTTTAGGGTGTAGATTTTTTAAATGCTGTCCAGTAGCAATAAAGGAAACAGAGGTTGTTTAGCAGAGACTTTTTGTCGGCTCTTCATTGATCGACATTTATTGAGCACCTACTACTACATTCAGTTCTGATCCCATTATAGTCTATGCAGAAACGTCCTTTCAAAATATTACGTTTCAATGATTAAAAAAAAAAAGTCACTTCCTGTATCAAATGAATCACCTCTAGTGGAATTGACGCATGTTAATAAATACATTCGTGGGGTTAAATTAACCCAAAGCGACCTCTCCTTTTCCCTCACAGCCCTGTAGTGTCTCAGCAAGCACAGCACATTCGCCCGGCATCCCCTGTGCAAGGCACTGTGCTAAGTACCCAGCGGGGTGGGCAGAGCTGACCGGGGCCGGCTGCTGCTGGAGTATCCCGGGGCCCACTGGGGATCGTCGTGGTAGTGCTTGCTTCTTTTGGTTGCTAGTTTTTATAGCTGAAGTGCCATACATCTGCGGATGCTCTGTTCAGAATGCAGAAACACACATGTAACCGCAGTTCTAAATCTTAGTCTGCTTATCACGTCTGAAGGTCTCAGAGAAGAAAAAAAGGTAAAGAAAGAAAGAACACCGGGTTAAGCTGCTTGATCCTGATGACCAGTCAGCTCTTAACTTTTTTTAGATGCCAGGGTACATTTTTCCTAACTTAAAATCTTTGCAGGGTAAAAATGGTGAGTGTGGTATGGGTTCTGAAATGTTCATTTTTTACTTAAAACCTTAAGAAATTCACTGTACTCGTGAGGAATTTGTAATCCAGGAAGCGGTGGCGGCACTGTTACCAAAAAAGAAAGAGTTTGCTAAGCATTTTAATAATATGAATCAAGATGCTGGTAGAACAAACTCATCGTCCTGGAATCCTGAAGAACAGTTCTCAACCTTTTGAAGATCACTACCTGTAAAATCCAATGAAAATATAATCACCTTTTTCTAGAAAAGTTCCTAGGCACACATAGTTTTGCGTATTTGTGGGATTCATGGAAACCAGATTGAGAAACACTCATGTGACCCATGGCTTTTGCAGATAAACATCTGGTATTCCAAGTATAAATGTCTTCTCGCCGCCTCACTACAGATACAGAGGGGGCTTCGCCGTGTACCACTTGGTTAAACCAGCCCAAGGTAGCGTATACTCTGGGAAATATTTTCTAGGTAAGCCTTTCTAGGAAGCCAGGATTGGTTCACAGGTTATTTTTGAGGTTCCCAATAAATAGTGTTTTGGGAAGTTACCTTGACAGTTCAGACTTTGAAAAGAAGGGAAAATACTAACAACGACATCCTGGATTGAGAGAGAGACTAGCTGAAAACCCTAGAGTTCTGGGTACCAGAGCTGTTCAGCCCTCTGACGGGCCAGGTACCTGGTGAATCGCCTGCTTGACACGGCCGGAGCCGCTTCCTGCCGGTGGGGGCGTGAAGGGTAGTCCTTTCCAAGGGACACCAATCAGATGTCCTTTTTCCATAAAGACTGTAAGTAAACCCACACCTAGGACAAAAGAAAGTAGACTGGAAGGCCAGCCTCCGGACTGCGTGGAGTGCCCTCAAGACCTTTGGGACCCCTACTCCGTATTTATAAGTCTTCCTCTAAGAATGAGTGACAACTGCGCAGAAGCGACAGAAGGAAGAAGGAAAGGTTATAGAAGTGTGGCAGGTCTACTGTACTGTCATCTAAAGCAGCGATTTTAAAAAAATCTCTGCCCACGTGCAACTTGACAGACCTCTTTCTCCTGCGCGCTTTTTGGTGGCCACGCTCCTCACAGACCTCAGGACCTTAACTGGAAGAAATGTTTGGGCCGCGCTTTCCTTTCTCCCTTGCAGCTCTCACCACTACTTCCACTAACCTTCTCCAGTTAGTAGCTCTCTGGCAAACCTCCTCCTGCTTCACCTCCTTGGGCCAGTCTTGGCTTACACCTCCGTTGACGTCTGCTTCGTTGCATTTGAGGGAAATGTTGACATCAAGTTGACTTAAGTCTTCTCCCCAGAGTGATTTCCTCCCTTTCCTTTGTCAACAGAAGAATGGTTTATTATTGCCAGTTTTGGCCTCCTCAGTGCCCTCACACTCTGCTACATGATCATCAGAGCCACAGCTAGCTTGAATGCTAATGAGTAAGTAACCAGTTATTTTTTGGATTGCATGTACCAGATGACCCCGAGAAAACTTGTAATTTTCATAAAGATGGTGAAAATTGGCTTCCACCGGTTTCGTACTGATCCTGATGAGATCATACCTAGCAAAGTAATGCATTTCGTGACCATGTATTTGTAGTCAGTACACAGATCGGGAGGTCACCTTGCTCAGCAACAGCAGCTCCCTTAAGAAAAGATCTAGGGTCTTCCGTTAGCCACAGGCTTAGAGCACAGCAGCCGTGTGACGCAGACACCAAGGGCGCCCGTACAGTCACGGTGTAAAGAAGGTCCGTGTCCTGATCATTGGCAGGAATAGTCCCACTTTCCTGTGTGCCCACCAAACTTTACCCGGATCCTTACGTACTTAGCTTTTGACGGAACACGGGCATCCTGGCCTGGGGCAAGGGACAGTGACTTGGATGTATAGCCCGCAAGAAAGAAGCAATCAGCAAGACCCGCTGTTTCCAGAGATTGGGAAGACTGTCAGGGACTGTTGGGAAAACAAAATAAGTGTCATCTGTATTTCCATGGGGCAAAATGAGGACCAGAGGGCAGGGGACAGGAAGGCGAATTTCATCTCAGTGAAAGGAAGACCATCTGTCAGCGAGGCCCCCCCACCAGAGGCGGTTTGCCGTGGGGAGAGCTCAGGACGAGGCGTGCAGGCGGATGCCGTGCATTACCTCTCAGGGCTGCTGGAGGTCAGAGGTTTTCCAGAGTAGGCGAAACTGGGCTAGCTGGCTGTTGAGGTCCATTTTGATCCGGTGATTTTCCAGGAGTTGCTTTCCACAGGGCTAAGGTACAGGAAGGATTTTTGGTTTTGTTTTGTTTTAAATTTAGGGCGTTTACTGTAAGGTGTTATTTAGTCCTTTCTTTTACCAGTATTCACGAAAACTCATTGGAGATAAAAGTGTCCCTAGGACGCAGCCCGGATATGGACCTAATGTGGCACAGGGGGAATTCATGTGCTCTCCACACGCACTTATGTCCTGGCATCTTAATGGATGAATAATAACCGGCCAAGCCCATGTAATTGATGTAATTGAACACTCATTGTCCAGCTGTGAAAACAAATGGGCAAGTAACCTCCAGTTACAGTGACGTGATTTTATCATCTCTAACCTGACCCGTTGGCTCGATACTTGTAAGAAGTGCCCGTGGGCACACCTGGCCCCTAGCACACATTGGGAGGATGCCCGGGTCTGTTGGCATCCTTCAGCCTGCAGGGGAGTAGTCTCGGCTGCTCATCCAACAGGTCAACCCGGCTGATGCAGGTTGACTTCAACATAACAGTGTTCATTGCTCAGACCCTAGAATCAGACGTAACCTGGATTTGACTCTCTGTTCTTCCATTTTCTGCTTGGGAGACCTGGGCAGCTATATGTCTCGGGAAGTTCATTTTAGTCATGCAGAAAACAAGAATAACGGCAGGCATACATCATAGGTTGTACGAAGTAACATATAAAGTGCTTAGCACAGTGCCTGGTACATTTTAAGTGCTCAATAAATGTTAGCTGAACAGTTCCACTGAGAATCTTCCAAAGTCTTGTGAACGAGATGACCATCTATCTGCCTCTATCATTTGGCAAATGAATTTCATTTTCTTCCGTGAAATAATACAGAATCACCGGAGCTCTGTGAGTCCTGTGATTCAGACCTCAGTTTGGAGGGAAATATTGATTTCACCTGCAGTCACCTCTTTTGCTTACTCTCACAGTGACCCCATCAGACTAGATGATGGTGTGAGTCCACTCCTTAAACCTCACAAATTAGCGAAAGCCAATTACAGCGAATAGAGACACTCTGGGCACTTGTAGAGAACTATTAAGTGATCTAATGGTCGTCTCGCTGCCGCCCAGGATCTGCCAGATGCTCAGGTCGTGCGTCAGGTGTTTTAGAGAAGGTTCAGTAGACATGTTACCTTTTAGAAATCAAAGTCCCTGGGCCATAATATTTCGGTTCCACGCATAGATGCCTGCATGACTCAGTCTAAGCACTAATCTTAGATCCATGTCTTAGGCCAACCCTTCTCCCATTAGCCTGTGTAGAGGGTTGATAGAGCAGTTGTTCATCCAGATATTATTTCTGTGCCTTCAGTCAGAACTACTCTGAAGGACAATTTTCATGATCCCATGGAGAGAGAGAGAGGGAGAGAGTGTGTGTGTATGTGTGTGTGTGTGGACATATGGATGCATGAAAGAATGGTCACCAAAATATGAATGGTTATTGTCTTAATTTAGTAGCATTTTGGGTGATGTTTTTCTCTCCTATTGTGCTTTTATGTGTTGACATTTTTATATAACATGAATTACTTAAGATTTTAAAGGCCATTTCAATTGTGGAGGATAAAAGAAAGACAGTCATTCTTACTCAGTGTGTCCTTCCCAAGAATGTTGATGAAAAATCCCTAGGTGATTTTAATTCCAGAGAAAAGTCTATATTAGCAAATAAATCTATAATTATTCTTCATTAATGAATTCTTTAAAATCCATCTTACCTCCCTTTTTGCCTTTACCAAAAACTTAAGCCAAAATGAGATTGCCTTTTCAATCGAATTGCTGTTTTAATTTCCTAGGTGACCTCATCCATGTGTGAGATAGTCTATAGGAGTAGAATTCCATTTTCTCCCATGTGAGCGATTTATCTTGGAAGTTGCCAGTAAAATTCACCTCTCCACATATTACCTCCTATCCTAGTTTACTCTTCTGACAGCGTTGCACTGAACTTGTGTATTGTGATTGCAGCAAGACCTTGACCCAGTCTAGTCACTGGTGAAAGCCTGTGGGCAAGAGGCAGCAGTGTGGGCCACGTGTAAGGGCAGGCCCGGGGAGGCCGGGTGCGTGCAGCGCTGCCCCGCTGGGGGTCAAGGCACGGCCTCCTCCCTCACCACGCTCTGCACCTGCACCGTTACCCAGGGCTTGACACTGTTGTCTGATCTGAAGTCACACCCCTTCTGGTGTGTCAAAACACTATTGAAATACTCAACCGTGACTAATTGTGCTTTAATTTTTTAACACGGCAAACAAATCTAGTGAATGTTGAGGCTTGGCAGGTATAAACAGGATAGTAGTCAAAGAAGCAAATACACGCAAGGTAAATACATTTATCATCTTCTCATACCCCGTTTCTTAGTACTTAAGTAGGCAAGGTTAGTGAACTTCAGTTCCCAAAGGAGGTTTGCTGCTCTACTTCAGTATTCAGAAAACCTCGTTAGATCCCAGCGTTTACCAGCTTACATTTGTATCAGTCCGTTTTTCCCTCAACATAAGAAAAGTAAATGTTTTCATTGTTGTTTTTATTTGAGGCACAAGTTGTGAGACAAGGAAGGTGATGTAGGCGGATTTTGAGCTGAATGGGAGGTTGGGTTAGGTATCCTCCACCGTGTCCTTTCTCGGTTCCTCGGTTCTGATTCCTAGAACTCGTGCCCGAGGATCTGCCCAGGAGTAAAACCCAGACATTCAGGATCCAAAATCGTCTCAGCAGGAGGAAGTGAACCTGACACGGTTCATGTACAATAACTGGAACAAATGTAAAATACTGTAGCATAACCCGAGGCCAGGAAACCCTAACTCTGCCCCGGGTCAGAGTCGTCCCCACCAGTATGCCCGGGGAGCCGGCTCCCCGGGCATACTGGTGCAGTGATAGAAACTTATAAGCCCCATCAAAGGAATGATGTTTCTGTTTTACTCTCTTTTCAGTATTTCTGAATTGTTCTGCTCACACTCTTCTTTTTTTTTTTTTTTAAGGTTTATTTATTTTGGAGAGAGAGAGCATGAGAGTGAGCAGGGAGGGGCAGAAGGAGAGGGAGAGAGAGAATTTCAAACAGACACCCCAACACAGGGCTCGATCTCACGACCCTGAGATCATGACCTGAGCCGAAACCAAGAGTCGATGCTCAACCAACTGAGCCCCCCAGGCGCCCCATTCTGCTCACACTCTTAAGAGTAACATTGACATATTTCAGTATAAAAGGATCTGAAAACATCATCATTTTGATGCCTTGGGGATGCTTGGCTTAGAAGAGAGGAGTTGAGGGTGATGTGAGCGATGTCTCCAAGTATCTGAAGGGCTCCCAGAGATGATGAGAACAGCTACTGTTCACTGAGCACCTCCCAACAACTTACTCCTGGGTGTGGCCCCGTGTGACACTCATCAGAGCCCCGTGGGGACTAGCCAGTGCATACAGAGGGTGGTCTTATTGTGTAGTTCGGGAGCTCCACAGGCATCCACAGGGAGGTAGAGCACCAGTGAAGACAAAGAAGACCTTTGTGCCAGTCGGCAGTGTCCATCCATGACATGGGATGCCTTGAAAGCTAGCGAGTTGCCAGGACCTGCTTATGCAGACAGAAACGAGCCACGAGGCTGGCACTGTTTGGAGGCAGACCCTGTGGTCGGTGGAGGTCAGAGGCTCCTTCCAGTTCTGAGAGCTCCTCTTCGCTTGTCTGTCCTAAATGGTCCTTTCCTAGGACGGGAGGCATTGCGTGTCCTGGCAGCTGGCAGCCTCTTTTAGAACGTTAAGTATCAAAACCAGTGATTTTTAAGCTTTTTTTTTTTTTTAACCCCCTGCCGTTGTAAGAACTGCATTGTACATTGGGACACGTATCCACGCGTGTGTAACTGAAATAGGCTTCACAGATCTTTTCCTCAGCATGTGCAGTATCTGCTGATCTCTTCTCTGCACCTTGTTGTTAAGGCTGGTCGGGAAGTCCACGTTGCTCTCAAGGCCCAGCAATAGGTGGTTTGAGAAACGCAGATCTGAAACATTCTGAATTTCTGGTTCTCAGCCGAGTACCTCTGGCTTCCCCCAGCACCCATCATGGATTGTTTTTCTGAGGCAGCCTTTCTTGTAGCGATGCCTGCGAAGCTTTGAACTTGCCCCCAGTTTAATCATGAATCCACTTCCTCCTGTTAGTATTGACTTCTCCTTTTAGCCACTCCGAGCATAAGATACATACACAAAATAACCCGGGGCCCAGAGGAGCTGGGGGACCCCCTGAGAAATGCCATAGGAAGAGGGGCATGGTGTTCAAGCCCGTGTCTCTGGATCCACGTCTTTACACTGCTTGTCTGTGACTACTCCAGAGAGACATTTAAGGGTTCCACATCACATGGTGGAAGAGGGCAGTTGGCTTTCTGGAAACGTGATGACACGAAGATTAAAGGCAGTGAGGACCTCTGATGGGACTTCTGCCCTGTCTCCGTTGCGGTCTTTCTGGTGTTCACAAGTACCTTTAATCTTGTGGCTGCCGTAGTTTATAGTTCCTTAGAAGAGCAGCCAAATAAAGTAAGTGTAAAAATCTCGACGCACCCACTGGAAGTTCTGACCTCTAATATCTGATTTCTCTGAGCAAGTTTTATAAAATCAGTGCATTATCTTTAGCAGGGCTGAAGGAACAACCCGGTCCAGAGCTCTGTGTGAAGTTGTGAATGGCCTTCCTGCCAGGCCTCTCGTTCGTTCAGTGTCCCCAGCAGCCCCCCAGGCGCCAGGCCTCGCCCTGCAGGGTGCTGTGGGGAAGGGGCAGCCGTGCGCAGGGCCCAGGCTTACAGCACCCGCCGAAGGGATGGGAGAGCCTGCGGACTGAGCACAGGCTCGGGGTCACACAGACGCCGCGGCACTGCCACTTTGGTCCCGGGGGGTCAACAGAGGCTTCCTGGAGGGAGTGACTCAGGAACCAGGCCGGGCATAGGTAGGGCACAAAGAGGAAAAGGCAGAGCAGGTTCAGGGAGTTGTGAGTTTGATGTGTCGGCTGGAAGCGGTGGTTGTCGGTAGGCCGACTGCAGAATTTGGACTGGGTTCTTGCAAACAGCCGGTAGCGCATAAGGCTTTTCAGCAAAAAGGAGGATTCCTGTCGCTGAGAAGTTGCTCTGGCTGGTAGAGACCAGAGGCAGGAAGATGGGTTAGGTGGAAATGTGGAGCTGAAGGAGGAAGTCAGGGGGAGGAGAGGAAATCAAGAGGTGCTGGAGAGTTGTGCGATGACCAGAGATGAAGCAGTCAGGAACGTGGATCTGGAAGTGAGCAGGGAGAAAAGAAAGCACCACTGAAGATATGAATTGGGAACCAAGGAAGTGAACCAGCTGTGCAAGGCTTCAGGGAGCTAGGGCAGTCCCATAGAGCCAGGCTCGGGGTGGGGGGGTGGGCAGCGTTAGCCCAAGACCCCAGGCTCCGTCAGGCTCCTGATTGAGGGACATGCGCACACGCAGTCTGGGCGAGTCCGGTGAGAGAGCCGCACCCCCTGGAAGACTGTACTCTGCAAAGTTCATTCCACAGTAAAGACTGACATTCTTGTTTGAGGCATAAAGGGGGATCCTATTGCAAAGACACAGATGTAGATTTCAGGACACGCAGCCCTGAGAACATGCATTCAAACCAGGAAAAGTCGTAAATTGTATGATAACTGTCCCTGCATTGTTAAGATGCTGTTAGCCTGGGCTTTTCCCTGCAGTCCTTTTGGGAGGACACACACACCTGTAAGGTGACTGAGCCACTTGACCACAGATGTGAAGCTGCTGAGTTCAGGAAAATGCCAGGGGCTGACTAGCTTTACCCATTGGGGCTAGGAAGTAGTTGGCGACAGGCCCCAGGCCACTCTTGAGTGAAGATCACTTTCTCTGTTATTTTAAAATACTGGCAACTCCCCTTTAACTAATTCTTGACCTCTTTTTTTTTTTCCTTTCATTCCACAGGGTAGAGTGGTTTTGAAGAAGAAAAAAAAAACTGCTTTCTGACTGATTGCCTTGAAGGAAAAAAGAACCTATTTTTGTGCATCATTTACCAATCATGCCACACAAGCGTTTATTTTTAGTACATTTTATTTTTTCATAAAATTGCTAATGCCAAAGCTTTGTATTAAAATAAATAAATAATAAAATAAAAAGACCGTGTCGTCGAGTATTCTTGACCCGCTTGTGTCCAGAAGGCCGACCTGGAGATCCCATACCCAGATTTCACGTGCATGTGTGTCGGAGACAGAATGTACTCATGAGTACCCCCCGGACAGTCACGCTGTTGGCATTTTCACCTGGGCCCCCTGCTGCGCCCCAGTACGACCAGACCATGGGCACGTCCTGCGCGGTGACGCATGCCCAGGCCCTCGGTGGGGTTACTCCATCTCACTTTCTTCAGGGTCAGCGTCCTCTGAGAATCTCTTGCTCCTTCATCAGCCCCACGGCAGCAGGGACATTTAGCCATGTGGCTCACCGCTGTGTCCCCCGTGCCTGGTAGAGTGCTTTGCACGTAGTAAGTGCTCAATAAATATTGGTGGGATGAAGGAATGAGTCTAAGGGAAATTTCCCAGAATACATCCTGATTAGTAATAAATTATATCTGTCCGAGATGGGTTTCCACCTGGTTTTAAAAAACAGCAGATTCTAAAAAGTTGAAACAGAACAATTTGACAAGTGTAAATGAGATATTTTTTGCTATATTGAGGAAACTGTTGAAATATTTTATGTTCTATTGAATTCTATGCTTGAAGGATCATCCATATGTGTGAACATTTTGAGCAAAGAATTCACCTTTTACTTCAGCGTCCCTGAGAGATGAGAACTTACTCCCACTGGTAATGGGTTCACTACCGCAGTCATTCTCCGATTGGTAGGGGGTTGATTTTTATCTTTTCGATTGAGATATAATTCACATACCATAAAAATTTACCCTTGTGAAGGATAAGCCATTTCAGTGGTTTTTAGCATATTCAGGAGGTCATGCAACCATCACAACTGCCTAATTCCAGAACACTTGCATCACTCCCAAAAGAAGCCCTGTACCCATGAACAGTAACCTCTCACCCCTCCCATCCCCCTGCCATCCTGGAAAGCACAGATCTGCTCTCTGTCTTTCTGGATCTACCCATTTCTGGACATTTCATAAAAATGGAATCATACAGGGGTGCCTGGGTGGCTCAGTCGTTAAGCGTCTGCCTTCGGCTCAGGTCGTGATCTCAGGGTCTTGGGATCGAGCCCTGCATCAGGCTCCCTGCTCAGTGGGAAGCCTGCTTCTCCCTCTCCCTCTCCCCCTGCTTGTGTTCCCTCTCTCCCTGTGTCTCTCTCTATCAAATAAATAAAATCTTTAAAAAAAAATGGAATCATACAGTATGTAGCCCTTTGCGTCTGGCTCCTTTCACGTAGGAGAACATCTTCAAGTTCTCCCATGTTATAGCATGAATGACGTTCATTCTTTTTTGTGGCTGACTAATATTCCATCGTATGGCCGCATACCACATTTTGTTTGTCACTCATCCAGTGATGGACATTTGTTGTTTCCACCTCTTGGCTGTCATGACTTATGCTGCTGTGAACATCTGTGGACAAGTTTCTGTGAACGTTGTCTTTTCCGTTCTCTTGGGTCTGTCCCTAGGAGTGGAATTGCTGGGTCATGTGGTAGCTCTGACTTGTTGAAAAACGACCAAAGTGTTCTCCAAAGCAACTGCAGTTTCACGTTCCCACCAGCCATGTACAAAGGTTCCAGTTTCTCCACATCCTCACTAGCACTTACTATTTTCCTTTTTAAAACCATCTCGTTGGGCGCCTGGGTGGCTCAGTTGGTTAAGCGACTGCCTTCGGCTCAGGTCATGATCCTGGAATCCCAGGATCGAGTCCCACATCGGGCTCCCTGCTCAGCAGGGAGTCTGCTTCTCCCTCTGACCCTCTTCCCTCTTGTGCTCTCTATCTCTCATTCTCTCTCTCTCAAATAAATAAATAAAATCTTTAAAAAAAATAAAATAAAACCATCTCATTATGGTTTTGATTTGCATTTCCCTAATGACTAATGATGTTGGGCAGCTTTTCATGTGTTTGTTGGCCCCTTGAATGTCTTTAGAGAAAAGTCTATTTGAGTCCTTTGCCCATTTTTTTTAATTGGTCTTTTTGTTGTTGATTTGTAAGCATTCTTTATATATTCTAGGCCCTTATCATATATATAATTTACAAATATTTTATCCTATTCTTTAAGTTCACTTTCTTGATAGTATCTTTCAAAATACAAGTTTTTAATTTTGATGGAGCCCAGTTTATCTGTTTTCTTCCTTTGGTTTGTGTTTTAGAGATCATATCTGAGAAACCATTGCCTAATTCAAGGTGACAAAACCTTCCAACAGTTTTATCATTTAGTTCGTATATTTGGGTCTTTGACCCATTTTGAGGTATATGTATATGGTGTGAGGTAGGGATCCACCTTCATTCTTTGCATTTGTCCCAGTACCATTCGTTGGACAAATTATTCTTTCCCCACATTGAGTGGTTTTGGTACCCTTGTCAAAACTCAGTTAAGCATAATATATGAGTTTACTTCTGGACTCAATTCTGTTCCAATGGTCTCCCTTTCTGTCCTTGTGCCAGTATCACATGATACTGATTACTGTTGCTTTGTAGAAGGTTTTAAAATTGGGAAGTGTGACTCCTCCCAACTTTGTTCTTTTTCAGGAGTGTTCTGGCTATCCAGGATGCATTGCGTTTCCATATAAATTTTAAGATCAGTTTTTCAGTCTATGCAAAAATGCCAGCTGGCATTTTGACAGGGATTATGCTGAATCTGCAGATCATTTTAGGTAGTAGTGTCATCTTAACAATATTAAGTCTTTTGGGGTGCCTGGGTGGCTCAGTCGGTTAAACATCCATCTCTTGTTCTCATCTCTGATCTTGATCTCGGTTGTAAGTTCAAGTCCATGCTGGATGTGGAGCCTACTTAAAAAAATTTTTTTTTTTTTTAAAGATTTTATTTATTTATTTGAGAGACAGAGACACAGCGAGAGAAGGAACACAAGCAGGGGGAGTGGGAGAGGGAGAAGCAGGCCTCCCGCTGAGCGGGGAGCCCGACGTGGGACTCGATCCCAGGACCCTGGGATCACGACCCAAGCCGAAGGCAGACGCCCGACGACTGAGCCACCCAGCCTGGGTGGCTCAGTTGTCAAGCGTCTGCCTTCGGCTCAGGTCATGATCCCAGGGTCCTGGGATCAAGCCCTGCATCGGGCTCCCTGCTCCTCGGGAAGCCTGCTTCTCCTTCTCCCACTTCCCCTGCTTGTATTTCCTCTCTTGCTGTGTCTCTGTCAAATAAATAAAATATTTTTAAAAAGTTAAAATAAATTTTTTTAGTTAAAAATATATATATTGGGGCGCCTGGGTGGCTTGGTCAGTTAAGCGTCTGACTTCGGCTCAGGTCATGATCTCAGGATCCTGGGATTGAACCCCGCTTCAGGCTACCTGCTCAGCAGGGAGTCTGCTTCTCCCTCTCCCTCCCCCTTTCTGCCCCTCGCCCCACTCATGCTCTCTCTCTGTCTCTCTTTCAAATAAATAAAATCTTTTAAAAATAGTAAGTCTTTCAGTCCATGAACAAAGGATGTCTTCCTCCATTAATTTCTGTAGAAATATGATTGATTTTTGTACATTGATCTTTTATTCTTACAACCTTGCTGAACTCATTTACTAAGTCTAATAGTCTTTTAGTGGATGCCTTAAAATTTTCTATATAAAAGGTCATCTCTTCATCAAATAGAGATAGTTTTAACTTCTCTCTTTCCAATCTGGATGGCTTTTATTTTATTTTCTTGCTTAAATGGCCCTGGCTAGACCCTCCATTAGTAGAATGTTCAAGAGAAGTAGGAGCAAACAGATATCCATGTGTTGTTTCTGATCTTGGGGGGGAAGCTTTCAGACTATGATGTTAGCTGTGGGATTTTCATAGATGCCCTTTATCAGATTGAAAAAGTTCCCTTCTATTTCTAGCTTACTGAGTGTTTTTATCATGGGTTTTGGATTTTGTCAAATGCTTTTTCTATGCCTATTGTGATGATTGTGTGGGTTTTGTCCTGTATCATATTAATATGGTATATTGTATTGATCAATTTTCATGTGTTGAACCAACCTTGCATTCCTGGGATAAATCCCAATTGATCACAATGGGATTATGTTTTTATATGTTGCAGATTTAAGGCTGCTGGTATTTGCTGAGGATTTATGCATCTATACTCATAAGAGGTATTGGCCTGTAATTTTCTTGTGATGTCTCTCTGGCTTTAGTATCCGTGTAATGCTGGCTTCATATAATGAATTATGAAGTAATTCCCCCTCTGCTGTATTTTGAAAAAGTTTGAGGATTGGTGTTAATTCTATATAATTATTTGGTAGAATTCCCTAGTGAAACCATCTGGCCCTGGACTTTTCCCTGTGGGAAGTTTTTTGATTGCTGACTCTCTCTCTCTCTTTACCAGTTATAGGTCTATTTATATTTTCTATTACTAATTAAGTCAGTTTCTATAGTTTTATCTCGGTAGTAATTTGTCCATTTTATCAAGGTTGTCTCACTCATTGGCATACAACTGTCTGTAAGATTCCCTTATAATCTTTTTATTCCTGCAATGTTGGTAGTTATGTCCCCTCTTTCATTCCTGATTTTAGTAACTTGAGTCTTCTTTTTTACCTAGTCAATCTAGCTAAAGATTTGTAAATTTTGACCTTTTCAAAGAACTAACTTTTGGTTTCATTGATTTGCCTATTGTTCTATTCTCTATTTCATTAATTTTTGCTCAGATCTTTGTTATTTTCTTCCTCTGCTAGCTTTGGGTCTATTTTTTTATTTTTATTTTTTCTTAAAGTAGAAAGTTAGGTTATTAATTTCAGGTCTTTCTTACAAGCATTTACAACTATAAATTTTCATCTAAGCACAATTTTGCCCATCCATAAGTTTTGGTATGTTGTGGTTTTTGTATCATTTATCCTAGAGTATTTTCTACTTTCCCCTGTGATTTCTCTTTTGACCCACTGGTTATCTAGGAATATGTTATTTAAACCCCACATGTTGGAGTGCCTGGGTAGCTCAGTTGGTTAAGCGTCCAACTATTGATTTCAGCTCAGGTCATGATCTTGGGGTTGTGGGATCAGGCCCCTCA